TGCCATTATAGGAAAAAAAAAATCTCAGGATAAAGTTGGCTAAAGTACTGTCGAGGTTAGGAATTAGTCTGTTTTCAAAGGTCAGTTAAGAAAGTAGGGGTCTGTCCATTGATTGTCAGTGGAATCCAGGCTCTGAAAGCCAACAGGAACAGTGAGAGAACATGGAGTTAAACAGGCTCCGCCTGGAGACTGTGCAGTCTGCATGGGAGCTGGGTCCAATCTGTCCCTTACTTCCCAGGTTTTCATTTGGCAGAATATCTTTTCTAACCTACATTTCCTTTACATCTGCGATAACTCACTACTTACCTTAAATATCCATTTAGTCTCTAACTACGTACTGAATTCAGCAGCCTCCTTCCTAACAAATATTATGAACTTCTACCTTATTTTTGTCTCTTTCTCTCTCACTCTTGTTATAGTATCATGGCCATTTAACAGTGAGAACTAACCTTGAAGTGAAAGGCTTTGCTTTCTAAACTACTATCATCTATGCTATGTTTAACAATTTAAGTAGCACATGCCCGCTCCTATAAACCTAAGGACAGAACATGGAGCTGTAGTGCTGATTCCAGAAGGAAAAAAAAAACAAGAATCTGAAAGGAGTCCTTCTGAACCCTACCACCAACTGGATCCCTCAAGTCTGAGTGAAAAAAGTAATTCATCTCTACCCTCTACTAGATTCAGATTATCTTCTATGTGGACCATCTTCTATGCATTTTCAGGACAGGTGTCAGCAATTCAAGGAGTCACAGCTGAGAAAAGTTAGTTAAGAAGGGGCATCTGCACATTTTTGTTAGGGCTTTGAGATTAGTGGGCATATCTGGTCATCATTTGGGACATAACAAACAGCAAAAAGCAGAACTTTTATGGATATGGAGAAGGTACCATGGGTACTTGGTGTGTTGCACTACTGGGGCCCTTTGTGTTCTTGTCGGACATCTCACACAGTATTTGAACTTGGTAAGATTCTTCCCTAACGTTTACAGCTCTATTTGTGCCACCTGGAGAAAGGAGGTATTATGGAGTTACACAGTTGCAAGGGAAAAGGGGAGTGGGGAGCAAAGCTCAGGGTTATACTTAGAATTTGCTTTTATGAGCTACTGTATTAGGGGATGCCTTGGCATTATCTTTAGGGAAATAATGCCACCTACTGAATCACCACTACTGCAGCCTGGAGCTTCTAAGCTTTTCCTAGGGGGGTTCATAATTATTCACCAGCCCAAGCCTAACATGTGCATTGTGATAAGATCAGAGCCTTGGAAAATGGTGTAGCTTTAGGCTATTTGTCAATAATTAGCTCTATTTACTGATTCATTTCTGAAAAATATGGATTTTATTGGCACTTGGTACTCAGTAAAGAAACAGTTCCAGATGATTCAGCTTATGGTAAAGGGTGCTCTATGGCAAATGCTTTGAAAGGAACCTTATCCATGTTTTGTAAGTTGTGTTATGGACTCAGGTACTCTATGAAAATCAGAAACTTTCTGCAGTGAAAGAACGTGAGGAGTAATGAAGTTAAGAACTCAAAACCTCTGGAATGATGGTTAGAAACGGATAAGACTTCTACAAGATCAATCTAGGCACTAGTAGCAATATACAGTAGCATGGCCCTGAAATAAAAACCTCCCACCTTCAGTTTAACTGTTAAATGCTGTATCATTCAGTTACCAGGTAACATCCCAATGCTTCTCTTGTTTTCCTTATTAATTGTCCTGTTATAGGCCATATTTGAGATATTTCTTTTAAGCCATACAATTAGTACAAAAACATGTTTTTCTTCCAGTTGTGTGCTTACCAGAATATGAGAGTCATTTACAAAGAGAAATGAATTCATCCTCTCAAAATCCTTGTGAGAGAGGGGGAATTACCCTATCTCAGAGAGAGAAAGTTAAAACATTGACTGTGTAACTTTCAAAAGAATCTCTTTGCTCTGGATATTTAGCTTCAACAGTTCTTTAAATATTTGGTGCATCTCATGGCTCTTTATTTGTTGAAAACACACTTCTCATACATTCCAGGTGGGAGAATTTGGTATGTTTGCTGACTAGACCCTAGGTGCCTAGCAAGTCAATTAAAAGAAGACCCCACAGTTACTAACTGTGAGAAGTGATTAAAGAGAAATAAGTCTCTCTCTCTCTCTCTTTTCTTTTCTTTTTTTTTTTAAACACTCCTAAGTGTAAAAAATCAACTGTGTGGGTCACTAGACTGTCCTTGCTTTTCTTCTGTGGTGCCTTGTTGTTATAAGTTTACATCTTCTGCCCCAGAGGAAGTGGGGGATCCTGTAGATGAGAGTCTTTCCTACTATGTAGTCCAGACCTTTTCTTTCCCAGGGTAAGTTTCTCTCACATAGTGAATAAGGCAGGTGGCTGCGTAATTAAAAGCAGTATCATGTTCTGTATTCATAAAGGAAGTGAATTGAGGTTGTAAGCAAATGCAATAAGACTGGTATTTCCTGTGTGGAATACCACTATACTTGGCTTTTCATCATAGATATCTTAAATGTAATTCTTCAGTTGAAAAGTAGGATTAGAGGACAGGGGAGGAAAAAGGCTAAAATAATGTTTAAAACAGAGAAAACGTGAGCTTAAATCAACTACAGCCTTGAGCCTGTTAACTATAGGCTAGATTGGTGTTTGTGCTGCTGGTAATTGTATAGTGGGGATGGTGCTGAGGGGGTTTTG